TAGTTATATCTAAGTAACTCCTCTATCCTTACCCTACTAAAGTAGCTAGTGGTAGGGTTATTATAGTGTATTTATAATAGTTTTATATAAATACCCTCCCTTTTTAGTATATATATTTATTCTTAGTACTATAGTATTCCTAAGGCGTTAACTAACTAGCCTTTTATACTAGGTTTCTATACTAAGATATCCCTATTTTAGTAGACTATCTCTAGGTCTTTAGCCTATAGCCTTTATACCTACTTAAGAATATCTTTGGTATTATTACTAATAGACTAGATTTCTACTATTATAGAATCCCTAATATCGAATAATATTTTTAGATTATTATATAGTTCTCTCTATTCTAACTAATTATCTACACTAATACTTTCTATATTTATACCTATAGGTACACTAGATCTAGGGTTTCCCTATATAGCTACTTACTTAAATCTAAATTAGAATTCTAAGTTATATTCCCTTAAATTATACTTATAATCTATATCTAGATTTTTGGTTCCTATAATACTTTATATTATAAGGACTAATAGTTCCCTATTACCCCTATAGGTTAGGCTATTATTATCCACAATTTAGTCTTAAATTAGGATTATTAGTTCTATTCCTAAGGCTACTTACTTAGAATTTAGTATTCTAGATAGCCTATCTATAGGGTTTATTTTTCCTAGCCTATACTTTATAATAAAGTTAAAAGGTATTAGGAATATACACTAATATACTTATTATCTATTTAATTTCTACTATATTATAAAGGTATATAGATTTATATAATTAGATAGTACTTTAATTAGGTATTTACTCCTATTAAGGTAGTATCTCTAATATTAGAAGGAGTAGATAATAGTAAATAGCTCCTAGTCTAGTATTATATAGTTTAGTTCTATACCTAAGAACTTCCTTAACTAAAAAGTGACTAGATACTATTACCCTTTATTATCTAGTTAAGATAGTACTCTACCTATTCCCTTATTTAAAGTATTAGTCTCTAACTAGATATACTATTCTAGATTAAAATAGTATAGTAGGGCTATAGATTTAAAGGACCCTTTTAGGTATTAGAATACCTCTACTTTAGCTCTATTAAGTTAGACTCTCCCTAGTTTCTTCCTATTTTTTAATCCTTTAAGTATTTCGGTTAAGGGTAGGGAGATATAGGAGTATCCTTTAATAAATCTTTAATAGAAGTTATAGAACCCTAGAAATACTTATATATTATAGTAGCTTTTAGGTTCCTTCTAGTCTTAGATAACCTAGATATAACTTTTATCTATTTATACCTCTTTTCTATTAATAATAAAACCTAGAAATTCTACTTCCTTTTAGTAAAAGGTATATTTTAATAGTTTTATATATAGCTCTACTTTTCTTAGCTATTTAAAGACTAACTATAGTGCTTTTATATATAATTCCTAACTAGGGGTAAAGATAAGGATATTATCTAGGTATACTATATAAATAGTATTAATTAGCCTACTTAGTACTATATAGATATAGCTTTAGAATATAGTAGGGGTATTTAATAAACCAAAAGGTATAACTATATACTTAAAATAGCTATATCTTATTCAAAAAGCGGTCTTCTATTTATCTCCTTCTTATATCCTAATATAATAGTAGGTATCTTTAATATCGACCTTACTAAAGTACTAGGCTCCTAAGAGATAGTCTAGGATTTCTAAGATAAGAGGTAGTAGGTACTAGTTCTTAACTAATACTCTATTAAGACCCTAATAGTCTATATATAGATATAATCCTCTATCTTTCTTTAGGATAAAGAGGATTAGTATACCTATAGGGCTTTTAAAGGGTTAAATCCTCTTTTTCTTAATATTTTCTATAAGATAGGCCTAGAGCTCTTTTAGCTCTATCCTAGATAGAGGGTAGATTAGCCTATAGGGTAGTATTTTCCTTTCCTTAAGTTTAATAGTATAGTCTAATACTTTAGAGATTAGTAGGGTACCTACCTTCTTATAGTTAAATATATTAAGGTACTATTCTAGCTTAGGGGGTATCTATAATAGATCTAGCCCTAAATTAGTATTATTTTTATCTAGAAGCTAAACTTCTTTAGGGAGCTTCACTAGGGTATAGATAAATATAGAATTTTTTAATAATTTAGTAAACTAATATAGGTTTACTAATTTAAAAGATTTTACCCTAAACCACTAGTAGTCTACCCTAGGATAAAGGGTAATATCGAAATTATTAATAAAAGTATATAATAGGAGTACTAGGCTTCCTTCTATATATATATCTCTATTAATTCCTATATATAGTCTCTTAATTTCTTTCTTAGTTCCTCTAGAGTCTTTTATTATAAAAGGGACCTAGAATACCCTATATATATATAGTTATTTAGGGAATATACCTTTTAGGGATAGAGAAGAAAATAGGGTAGTAAGTAGTTTTTAGCTATAGGCGAATTCTTTACTAACTATATTATATTCTACTCCTATATCTAGGTCTATATATATTTCGACTCTATTTCTAAGGGTAATTAGTATATAGAGTTATATTATAGTCCTAATTTATAGGTATAGGATTAGTATATTAGGATCTACTCTAGTCTATTTACTTTTCCCTAGGGGTTTTAATCCTTTAAGTGTAAGGTTTAGATAAGGGTTTAGACTATTACCTTCTAGGGGTAGTTATTTACCTAGTGTGTTTTATCCCTATAGAGGAAATAAGCTCTACTTAGTATATTATTAGTACTAGATCCTTTTTCTATAGGGGTAGAGTTCACTCCTAAGGCGTAGGATCTTAATCCTTTATATCCTCTACCTTATCCTCTAGCTTAGCCTCTAGATTAGGTTCTTCCTCTAAAGGATATACCTTAGGGACCCTCTTATTCTCCTTAAGGTCTATAATTTAGCTAGGATAAGCTATAGTTATAAGGGTAATTTAGTATCGATTTAGTATAGTTTCCTCTTTTTCTCTTATCTTACCTATAGATTAGGTATTCCTTTCTTTTTTAGTATACTAGGTATATATTCTATAGTATAGATACTTTCTATACTATAAGGGTTCTAGTAGTAGGTAGTTCCCTATTTATATAGGTAATAATATAGTCCTAAAGCGCTTTAGTAAGCTTTATAAATAGTACTTAGGCTCTCTATTCTTCTAACTAGGCTAGTAGGTATTTCTCTAGGGATATTAGGTATTAATTAAAAGTATAGGGGTCTTATTCTAGGTATATTTCTACCTTCTAGTAGAGTACTAGGATATTAGTAATAATATTATAGGAGTTTCGGAGTAGGGTTTTAGTCTATTCTTTAAAAGCTTTCTAGTTTATCTCCTCCTTAGGGTAGTTTAATATATAGTTTCGCTATTTATTCTTATAGGATATATATAGGTAGTTTTTAGCTATAAGGGCTTTTTATAAGTCCGAAATATATTTTCTTAGGGTATCTCTAAAAAGCGTATTAATATTATTTAGCTATTCTTCTCTTTAGCGGATACTAAAGTTTTCCTTAAATTTTTTAATATAGTGTTTAATTTCTCCTCTTTAGCTTCGCTTACTTTCTAATAAGGATTCGCGATTAGGCTAGTAGCTATTTAGCTCCTTTTTATTCTCTATAATAAGTTATTTTACTATAATAAGTTATTATTATAGCTCTACCTTTTTTATAAGGGCTTAGATAGTCTCCTCTAGTTCTTCGGTAATAGCTTTAGCTAGTTCTAGGCTAGTCTATCCTAATCCTAGGCTTTATATAGCTCTAACTAGGGGATCCTATAGGTCTAGTGGTAGATCTAGTCTTTCTATTAGTTAAGTCTTATAGATAGTTTAAGTTTCTAGTTCCTTAATTTCTTAGACTTATAGTATTAGTCCTTAGTCGTTCCTAATTCGAGAGGTTTCCTCTAGATTCCTAGTATTACTTTAGGTAATATAGTAGGAAGCTATTATATCTTAGGTAGTTAAAGAAGAAGAGTTAGAAATATAAGAGTATACAATTATTAGGTATAAGGCCTATTAACTAGGTAAGATATAAGGCTTAATAATAGGGAGAGAAAGGATCAATATATTGTCTTAAGTTATAAGACTAACTCTTATAGGAGGAATAGGATCCTAAGGATCTAGGGGTTCTTATACTTGGGTATAGGACCCCGTATCTACTCGAACCGAGTACCGAGCCGATTACAAATCAACCCCGCTATGACCCCGGGACGTGAATGACGTGCTCAGGTAAATGACCGAGTATCAGAATTGAAAGGACCTTTATCCTTTACAAGTGGGGAGCGCTGTCGTTGGCGCGCAGTAATGCCTGTCTGCGAACCAGAGCAAAACCAGTGTAGGTTGTTGAGTAGCGGAGGATAGGGGAAGGAAACCTAGGGGTAGTTTGTAGAAGAAAGGTGGGATAGTCTTCTATTCTCTTGCTTCTAGCACTTAAATACACGTATTCCATTCAGTCAGCTTACACCGCTATTTCTCACGTGTCCCTCTACACTATATACTCTAGGATTAGATAATGCACTTCGATCTAGGTAGGAAAAGAAAAGGTAGGTGATTATTTAGCCTAAGAGTGGGGAGGAGCTATATCATAAATAATATTTAGGATATAAGGTAACTTATATAGTTACCTAATAATTATCTTATTCGGATTAAGTGTAGCTAGATATATCGCTTAATAATGATCTATCTACAATACCAAAAGCGCACCATCTACCTCCTAGTAGTAATCCCGTGGGTTCTCACCTGTGTGCTCGCGGGTCTGCCCGCGCCGAAGGAGGAAATGGGCAGGGCTATTTCCCTCAGTCAGGGCTATTAGCTCATGGGGTGTAATCAATGCTGAGCTGGGTGGCTGCGGCTAGGCTTATGAGCTAAAAGAATATATACAATCTTCTCGGACTGTTTTTCCGGAGGAGCAGCTATCAATTGGTGATAAGACTACAGTATTTCTATTTGAATATTTGAGTAATAATACTATCTCCATTGGCATGATTGATTAATGTTAAAGGATTAGCCCCCCCCCCGGGGCAAAAAAATTAGACTTGGATAGCTAAAGACGGGAATTGTTCTTGGCCTTAACCTCTAACAATTGACCGATACGGGGATCAACCTTGCTGAACATGGCGATGACAGCGTCTTTGAGGTGATCAGGCACTCCTTCCAAAGTCTCCGACAAATTTGACACCCATTGTCTTCTCTCCGCCTCGTCGAAGACCTTGTTCCACAACTCTCGTGGCTGGATGAAATCCTCATCATCAACCACGATCTCGTTCTGGCCCAGCATAGCATTCTGGGAAATGCGCTCAGTGTGTCGTACGTTGGAAACAGTCTGGCTCGAGATGCCACTGCCCAATGAGTTTCGCACATAGTTTGGCTCACCACCATAGTTTCGGGTCATGGTCCCTCTACCATCGCGTTCGAATGGCGCGTGTACAGGGCAAATCGCACGATTTGACGGAAGCTGGGTGTAGTTCACTCCAAGGCGGTATCTTTGAGCGTCTGGGTAAGCGAACATGCGTGCCTGCAACACTGTACAGATAAAAACGGTTAGTATCTCCGTCCCTTATGATACCAAAATCAGTGTTGGCTTACTAGGATCTGGTGTCATCGCAATTCCAGGAACCATGTTAGAAGGCGAAAATGCAGCTTGCTCGATCTCGGCAAAGTAGTTCTCGGGCTGATGCTGTTGTTAGCACTCTTTTCACCTCTAGGATTCAAAGTCACCCACATTCTTGTTGAGAGTCATTTGACCAACTTCAATCAAGGGGAAGTCCTTGTGCGGCCAAACTTTGGTAATATCAAACAGCGCACGGCCGTGGGTTTCAGCCTGCTCGGGCTCCATCACCTGCACATAAAGTTTCCAGACCGGCAAGTCTCCCCGGGCAATAGCATCCCACAAATCCTGATTGTGAAAGTCGGGGTTTGCTCCAGCCATGCGAGAAGCTTGCTGGTCAGAGAAGTGCGTGATATTCTGGGTGGGCCGGAAATGGAACTTGCAGTAGCGGAAGCCACCATCGGCTGACACCAGCTTGAAGGTATGGACACCGAAACCTGTCACTCGACGGATAGAATCAGGGATACCCCGGGAACCGAAAAGGTGCATCAAAGCATGAACACTTTCCGGCTGATTCGCATGGAAGTCCCAAAACTAAAGAATTAGCCACATGGATGGTGGGAAATCTTTGGCTAGCACTCACCATAGTCCAATCCGGCCGATTGGTAGAAGGATGTCTCTTGTGACTTCGGTTGAGAGAAGGAAACCTGATAGGATCGCGAACAAAGAACACAGGCTTCGATTATATTAGGGAATGAAACGAGAGAGTCAAGGATGAGCACTTACAATGTGGTTTCCTACAATGTCATGGTTACCCTCTTCCGTGAAGAACTTGACCGAAAAGCCACGTACATCACGGACAGTGTCCGCACTACCCTTTTCGCCGCCAGTAGTGCTGAGACGGAACAGAACAGGAGTTCTTTTTCCCACACCGTTGAGGAACTTGGCGGAGGTGAGGGAAGAAATGTCATTTGTCACCTCGAATTCTCCCCAAGCACCCGCCGCTTTAGCATGGACAACTCTGTTTCAAGGTTAGGGCCTTGTTTCCCTCGACAGGTCAGATTGGATGGACTCGAACCTTTCAGGAATACGTTCGCGGTTAAAGTGCGCAAGCGTCTCCAGGAGAAGTGTGTCACCCAGTGTTGTCAGGCCGCCGCCGCCATAAATAGGCAACGTGGTGCTGACAGCGGGATCTGCGACTGGCTGGCCTATCTGGAGTCAGAATGTATAGAATTACTTTGAGATAGTTGGCACCATACCTTCTGCCAATGTAAAGGGGTGGTTCGGCATTGTGTCTGTCTAGTGAGTTCAATTGATACGTTCTGAATGGTCTACCTTCTGGGAAACAGCCTGGCTTTTATTGAATTTGTAACTGTGAGTCAATTGCTACCATCACCCCCCATGAGGGGAATCCCGAATCTCCGAAACATGTTTTGTATCTTGACGTGAGGGGCTTGACGCAATAACTATATGAGTAGCAAAATCGAAAGATTCAACCGGCACGCCTCATAGATATCGGGGCGTTGGGGGAAAAGGCGGTGACAGCACCGCGCCCGAGCTATCTCCGGCCCCGGCAAAATTCCGGTGAAGTAATCAGCCACGGTGATTGGTCGAACCTATTTTGCACCCTTGTGCGGAGAAGGGTTTCCCCTCGTGAGGGGGTCGAAATGGCAGGAGCCACATCCGTCACTGTTAGCCTTTTGGCTTTCTTCTAGAACATCTCCAACGGCGCTAATGCAGGCTTAGAGACATGTAAGCTTCTAGCCTATCAGCCCTATCTATAGGCAACAAGTCAAACGCCTTGTCTCTCGGGAAATCGGCAATTTTGTTTGGAGATGTTGTTGGCTATTTGCGGAATACAATCAATGAAATATAAAATCGGAATGATGCCTCGTAGATTCTTGCTCTATATCCACACAATCTCACAGTCTCACAGACATTGAACCAGCCTCTCAACTGTTCTTCACAAACAAAACATATATTGAACCATGGCTTTCGTTTCCAACGGGTCTGAGTACGACTTCATCATTGTCGGCGGTGGTACCGCTGGCAATGCAATTGCTGGTCGTCTCGCGGAGAACCCCAACGTCCGCATTCTGGTTGTCGAAGCGGGTATCCCCAACCCTGATCAAATCGAGCAAATCACCACCCCGTCTAAAGCTTTCACCCTTCGCGGAAGCAAGTACGACTGGGCTTACAAAACCACCATGATCAAGCGCGATGATTACGAGCGTGTTGAAAAGCCCAACACTCGCGGAAAAGCCCTCGGTGGCAGCTCCTGCGCCAACTACTTCACCTGGATTCCGGGCTCCAAGCCCACCTTTGACGACTGGGAAGCATTTGGCGGCCGCGACTGGAATTGGGACTCCTGTGTGGAGTATCTCCGCAAATGTGCCACCTATCATGATGACGAGAAGCTGTATCCAGCCGAGCTGAGCAAGATTGGAACCGGGGGCCCTGTGCAGATCTCCCATGCCGACTTGGTGCCTGAGATGAAGCCATTCCGTGATGCACTCACTGAAGCCTGGGTTTCCAAGGGCCAGCCTCTGAGCGAGGACATCTACTCCGGCGAGATGAAGGGTCTCACCCACTGTGTGGATACCATCTACCAGGGCGAGCGTCAGGGTAGCTTCCTTTACCTGAAGAACAAGCCTAATGTGACAATCCTCTATGGCGTTCGCTCGAAGAAGCTACTCATTGACCCTACCACACGTATCTGCTCCGGTGTCAGTGTGATCAGTGAAGCTTTCGATCAGGAGATCAGCGTCTACGCTAGTCGAGAGGTCATCCTATCTCAGGGTGTCTTCGAGACTCCTAAGCTTCTTATGCTGAGTGGAGTCGGCCCCGCAGCGGAACTAGCCAAGCACGAAATCACTCCCATTGTGGAATCCCCCCACGTCGGCCAGCATCTACTCGACCACCCAATCGTTCCTTTTGTTCTCGAGGTCAAGGATGGTTACAGTTTGGATGACCATGTCCTCCGTACTGGTCCTCTCAATGACAAGGCACTTTCCACTTACCAGAAGGACAAGACTGGCCCTGCAAGCTCCGGATTCTTGGAACTGGTTGGATTTCCCCGCATTGACGAACGCCTGGAAAAGTATCCTGCCTACCGCGAGGCCAAAGCTGCCAATGGAGGACTTGATCCTTTCGGCCCGGCAGGACAACCTCACTTCGAGCTGGATTTCGTCGGCTTGTTCAGCACCGCCTTCCAGTGGCATTACCCTATGCCCGAGAAGGGCAACTACATGACCGTCATTGTTGACCTGCTGCGCCCTCTTTCCGAGGGTGAAGTCACCCTGAACAGCTCGAACCCACAGGTTCAGCCGAATATCAATCTCAACTTCTTCGGAAATGACCTGGACATTCTGGCCATGCGGGAGGGTGTACGCTGGACATATGATCTTTTGACCAAGGGTGCTGGGTTTAAGGATATTGTTCTCTCGGAGTACCCCTGGAAGATGCCCCTTCATTCCGATGACGATATGAACCGTGCTGTTTTGGATCGCAGCCAGACCGGATTCCGTAAGATGACCCTTCCAGACTTCTCCAAATAATTCTAATAATTTATTTACAGATCCATGTGGTACGGCACGTCTCTCGAAGAGCATCCACCAGGGTGTTGTTGACTCAAAGCTCCGAGTTCATGGTGTGCGCAACCTCAGAATCGCAGATGCTTCTGTCATCCCTGTGATCCCTGATTGCCGTATTCAAAACTCGGTCTACATGATTGGCGAAAAGGTTAGTAATAAATCTGTGAGCTCCTGGAATCAGACTGACATATATACTAGGGCGCGGATATTATCAAATCCGACCACAAGGATCTATACGAGGCTAAGAACATCCCTTACCTTGTCTCTAGTAAACTTTGATCTGCCGTGGATTTTTTATCGTCTTGAGTTGTTTGTGTTGCTTTTTGCATATGCACATATATATATAGTCTTGGTCGATCGCAATTCTTCTTTCTGCTCACCTCTAATATCATTATCGTATCAAAATACACTGTTTAAAAAATTGGATCGATTCTTGCTAAGGTAGTGGACTAGAATTTATCTATGGAATGGGATTGAGACCTTTTGTATTCGCGAACTTTGAACAGGGTGCCTTGTGTATGGCGATTTCTTCTTCTAGATCTTGTTCCACCATTTGCCCACAGTAGCGCTTTGTTATGTATTGGGTGAAATGATGAATCGAGACAAATAGTAAAAAGAAAAGGTATACAGTGAGAATTTGCTATTTCTCTTACTAGTAAATCGTCTGTGGCTTATGTGCTGCTAGTAGTCGGTATTTCCTATGTGAGAAATGGGTGCCACTTTTTTAGCTGTTTGCTGTTTAGACTCAATTCTTTGGATGAATCCTCTCCGATAATAAACTTGACACAATCAATAGATAGATTGATGACAATCTTTTTGTACTGCCAACACCAAAAACCAAAAGAACCATCTATATATTCATTGGTAATTCACGGGCTAGAGCTATAACACCACTCATGAGAATACAGAAAATATATTCAGGCTATGTGTCATGTAAATACGGAGTATACAGTGTTCAATATAACGAATTCCACATGTGAGCTGGGCACACACACGAGCTGCGCAGTCTGAAACACATAGTAAATTCGATATATTACAATTAGGTACTGCAAAAACGCTTGTCTATGTGAAAATCTCTTCATAGCCTAGTGCTTTTTCTATCACATCTAGCTATTATATAGAATTTAAGGAAAGTCAAGAACTTAGTAACACAACATATGTACATATATATATAGCTAGGGTTCAGTGACGTATTTTTAATACGACAACAACGCAAGTTTTTGGATTATTCGAAATTGACATATACTTCCAAAAGAAGTTTTCAATTGTTATTGGCAACGAAAACATTATTTGAAATAGATTGGTTGTTTAGATCTAAATGTATCGTCTATCGACTTTACTATGGTGCAGCTCGCATGTGAAATCTGTTATGATGAATCGTATCGGAGATACTTTGGTCCGCTCATGTGACTAATTTTCACTTATGAGAATTTTAGGGTCTAGATCATGTGAGCGCCCCTCAACAAAGTGCCCCTGGTTGAACGGACGACATTCCTTTGAACATCTGTGCTACCAGCGAGTTAGAGAAATTTAGATTGGGAGCAACGCAAAGTGGTGAAAGCATGAATACGTGCGAGATACTCGGGTCTGTTATATTCTGCATACACCTATGAGCCTAGGTCCTACGACAGTCGGATTTTATCCGCACTCCGTCAGATAAAAATCTCCATTTTCAATTATACACGCCCACCAATATGGTATGTTTCTTTCGCAACATTAGTCATGGCGGGGATGTGGGGGTATTAAGGGTATTGTTATTATAATTTGAAATCAGCATTATTACTTTGTATGACGCACATATGAATTTATTTCATGTAAAGTGAGTTATGTACATTGTATGTATGTACATATATGTCATCTCTACTCCTACTGTCACAGCCAATGGATCCATCTTACACGCTAGCCAATATAAAAATGGGGTCTATGAGAGAGCAGCGCCTGTGGGTTTGCAAGGTTGACTAGTCAGAAGCAAATGCACACCGAATACTAATCTCCGAAATCCCCAATTGATGTCATTTGTTTTGAATCAGTGCAGTTCTGATGTTCACGATCGATCTCGAGAGAAATTGCCTATGGATCGTCGGTGCAAGGAATAGATGCAATGCTAGACACGCGTCGTGGGGCGTAAACTGTAACGCACATAAAACGTACAATAGAATTACACAATGTACTCCGTACATTATAGCTAATATTGAAAACCAACTATACTCAATGAGCTTAATATATCGTATAGCAGAAAAGTCTGAATTGATCAACAGTAATAAGCGTGACTTTGGTCGAATATGTTGTAAACAAAAAATAGTCGGAGATTATTGTTGGTCAAGACGGACTCCACTTGTTCAAAACTTCTGTTCATGTTTGTTTTTTTTTTCAGTCTTGAGTGTACACTTGCCCTTGTCCAATTATATACGTAGGTACGATGCCTAAGGCTTAGGGCCACCGTTGTCATTTGACACCTTTCACTGTAGAAAATATCAATATCCAAGTCTATTTCTACGTACCCAGAGACAGAGAATGTTCAAAGATCGGCCGTCGTTGCCAACATGATCTCATCATGTAGCGATTCCTTCGGTCTGGAAGTCAGCTGCCTTGCGGGATACTAAACATAACTGAGTTTAGGCTTCGCTATTTTTGTCGGGAAACTGGGGGACAGTACCTCGGTACCTCATTTCGTATAATCCCGACCGCATGAGAACGGTATTCAATCAGAGTTGCGAGGTCCCCTGGTCTCTTATGGAAGAAGGACAACTTCATCCGTTCCATCCGAAGGTAGAGCACCCAGCCTGTCGGAGAACGCACAACTAGGGGACGATCCATGGAAAGGGTGTTTTGCCACCAATAATCGGCTAACGTGCACCGTGGACAGCAGGTTGAAAGATGCCTTGAGGCTCCACAGCCTCTCGGCCAGTGATCGTTGTCCAAGTCCAAATCTGGTTTATAAGTGGAGCATGAATCATGGTCTTTCTCCACAATTCAATGAAATGAATATTCGTTCAATATGGCGGCTACGTCACTGCCGGCTCGTTCGGACCTGCAAATGCTCAATCCAATATGAGGGCAGTGTGCCAGGTCCCATCCACGGATGCTGTTGGGATGCCTGACAACACGCGGTTTCTATTTTTGGTGGGTTTGGCTCGGGGAATCTCGCCTCCTGCTGGGGCATATATTTCCTTGATTCATACTGGAGCTTTAATCAAACTTTTAATTAAACGCATCTTATAAGATTGGTCTCTGCTGCAACTCGACGGTGGATTTCAAGTTCGAAGAAGTCTGAACGAGAATCAATCTTCTCACAAAGGGCATTGTGTTCATTTGCTAATTGACCACTCCCTACACATTCGCTGAACAGCAATCATGATGAAGAACATCATTACTATCGCTGCCTTCGCTGCTGGCACCAACGCTCTCGTTGGACGCAGTGACAGCTGCTGCTTCCACCTTACCTCTTCCGGTGATGCCTCCGGCAAGCTTGGCCAGCTGAGCGATGGTCAGAACCGGATTGGCGATGACAGCCTGTCGCCCGCCCAGTACTGCATTGATTCTAAGGGTGCCATTACCGACGCCAATGGCCGTGGCTGCATTCTTACCCGTAAGTGATAATATGAAACACTTTCCATCACATTCAAGGCACCTCTTAACATTTTGATAGCCCCCACTACTCAGTTCCAGTGTGACGAGGGTGCTTCTCCCACCCCCGGCTTCTCTCTCGGCCCCAACGGTGAGCTCGAGTACCACGGCGGTAAGGACTTCGTTGCCTGTGCCACTGGTCAGAACGGTGGTCTGAACGTGTACACCACTCCCAACGAGTCCGATGTTACCGGTTGCGTGAACGTCAAGTTGACTGCCGACTCCTGCTCAAACTCCGGCTCTGGCTCTGGCTCTGGCAGCTCTTCATCTGCTAGCGCTGTTCCCTCTTCTTTCGGATCCTCCAGCGCTCAGTCAACTCCCTCTTCTCCTGCCTCGTCTGTCCCAGTTGCCCAGTCCACCCCTGCTAGCTCTGCTCCCGTCTCGGAGTCCACTACTGCTCCCAGCTCTAGCAGTCCTGGATCTGGATCTGGATCTGGCTCTTCTGCCCCTGCTCCCTCGGGCTCTGCTTCCGCTCCATCGGCCCCCGAGGAGTCTCCTCTCTCAGGCTCTCCTATCACTGTCGTGAACACTATCACTGTCACCGACTGCAGCTGCTCCGCCACCGCCCCTGTCGGTGGAGGTGATTCTGGCTCGCAGTCTGTGCCTTCCGCCACTGGACCTGCTCCCTCCGGCAACGGTGGCGAGGGTAGCTCGCAGCCTGCTCCCTCTGCCCCTGCTCCCTCTGCCCCAGCCCCCTCTGGCTCTCAGCCCTCTGAGTCAGCTACCGGCCCCGCCCCCTCTGGTGGTGGCTCGCAGCCCAGTGGTTCCAGCAGCGCAACTGTGCCCGCCAGCTCCGTCTCTGCGACCCCTTCCGCCACTGAGTCCTCCAGTGGCTCTTGCCCCACCACTCTCACTTCCGGCAACTACGAGTACCCCCACCTGATCGTCCCGGTCGACTCTTCCTCGCCCGACACCGCGGCTGGTACTTCCTACAACGGCACCGTGAGCTCCACCATCTCAAGTGTGTTCAACTTCGACATCCCCTCGTCCGATTCCGGTAAGACTTGCAGTCTCGTCTTCCTCTTCCCCGAGCTCCAGGACCTCGAGACCTCGTCCTACAGCTTCAGCGGTGACGGCAAGATCGACTTCTCCAAGCTTTCCTCCGCTGTCGACGAGTCTACTACTTTCAAGAACTTGCCTTCCGTGTCCCAGGACCTTGGCGATATCACCGTTTCCCCCGGTAACTCTTACGTTGTCTCCACCTTCTCTTGCCCCGCCGGCGAGAAGGTCACCTACAAGATGGAGAACTCTGGCAGCACCGACCTGAACTTCTTCGAGGACTACAACCCCTCTCCGTATGTTTCCTTCTCTGATCTTTCTGCTTGGAAGTCAGCTAACAGTTTCTCTAGTCTCGGTCTGTACATCACTACCTGCTAAATTAGCATTCTCGAAACATGGGACCTGGCACCTGGAACATGAAACCATCTAGTGCCTTTTCGTGCCTTTGTTCCTTTTGACGCCTCACGTTGAAACGTTACTTTTTTTCTAATCATTCTTCTATCTTCCGTTCATTTCATTCTATTGACACGGTGGCCATAAGGGAGTAATCCTTTTGAGAAGATTGACTGCCGGATATAGTTGAGGTTGTAATTAAGACGCATACAGATAGCGTCGATATTTATTCGGCTTGTGTATCAATACATTAAATTCACTCCTTTATTCACTTCACTTTTTCTCGATCTTACAAATTAGGTATCATGTACCTATTCAGGTCTTAGTCCGTTCTGCTGTAGACGGAACCATGTCCCCTAGATGAGCCCCTAGATGAGGTTGGATCAACTTCGGACTCGTATCATATAGAGACATAATTCAAAGTACGTACATGTTAGCCTTGGGGTAGGAATCCGCAGACTATTGATAAATAGCGTCTAGACTGAGAAGACTTTAAGCGACTTAGAAGGGCGGCCTGGCCAGCTATCGGGTACCTACGGGCTGCAAAACACCCTAGGTCTTATTATCCCTTGAGAGTCACACATGGTCTAGGGTGGGAATCGTATGCTCGGCCCCTCGCCAAACATGCTGTGGCACGGTCTAGTTTCCGTCAGAGAATTTGTTCCGCCTTGAGCTCGTCATCATAATTGTCTATAGCATTTTCCAAATCATGCTACGAATCTGGCCGATCTAGCACACCGTCTTGTGCCCTAGTATACTCCTAATATTCCGGGTACTAACCGCTGGATAATCTGAGCAAGGGATCCGAGCGTAGTTTCATGGGATTTAAGATTTATGTCCACAGTTCCATAGATCAAAACACAGCTTGCGAACAAGTAGAACTCGGCAATTGAAACATATAATAGACCCTACACTAGCAAGGTTCGAAGATCTGCTCAAAAAGGCAACATTTTCACAGCGTGAGTTCAATAGAAGACGATTCTTCATAGCCCTGATATTGCGACTTTCCATCAACCAAGTTCACCACCTGCTGATCCGCGATGTAGGTTTCCACCCATCCAAGTTGGGCGACGACACCCTCCTTGCTGATATAAGGCGCTTCGATTGCCTGTAGAGCAATGAAATCTGGGTCTGTGGACACAGTCACCAAGTCCGCGATGTCGCGGAAGTAAAACTCCACAGTAGCGTCGTGGGTGTCGACTGTCCAGCCATTTTTCAGACGCTCGCACGCGTTGCTCAATACATTCCGCACTGGCGGTGGTGAGAAGTGCTTTTTGCATGTTAGGTTTGACTGCCGTTTGAGGGTGGGGAATTAATTATATTGTGATAGAATGGTGACTTACGTAGCTATAGCCCTGTAACTTATGGCGTTGATGAATCGCCACTGCTCTAGGGATATATACCTCTGTGATGAAGCGGTGGCATTCTTCCTCGGAGGCAGCTGGGTTCCGATGGTGGGCGAGGGTCAGCTTTAGAAGGCGTTGCGGGGCCATGTTGGATGACAAGGATGTTCTGGGGGCTTCAAATGGTTTCGTGGCTTTGAAATGATAGGCTGGGGAGGCAAGTCATTCATGTTCTCTTTATTTTATATCCCTCTCACGTTTAATCTACATCTTATCCAGCTCGTCATACAAGAGGGAGGGGCATTGTAGGCAAAAAGACCTCGCCGGTTCCTGCAGCGCCCGCCGAGTTGTGCCCAGTGCTCGGTGCTAGTTCGCCGATTCGGTGAAGTCAAACAAATGATTATAGACAGCGCCGATAAAATGCAAAAGCTCGCAGTCCTCTCCTCTGTCTAACATAGTTCACCTTTCAAAATTAGAAAAGTCCCGAGTGCCCCTCCGTTGCTCGCCTAAAATTCGACACGCGCAAATCAAGTATGGCAGTATAAACGTCGTGACTGTCTTGGGGAGGACGTTGTCTTCTATATATCTAAATAGACATTTCCGATTGTATTGCATCACCAGCGTTATTCACGCGATTGTCGGCCTTTATGGCAACAGCCTTGCAATTGGGCTGCGACCTGCATTAAGCGACTTTCGTGTTCCCGGACCGTCTTCATCACCATTTTGATTGCGTTATTCTCGCTGGATGGACTGGACGGTCGACTGGTGTCGATTTCGGCGTTCTCGCTAGATACAAAAGGCGCCGTAAGTTTGTCCACCGAGTCCCCCAGGCTGTCTAGTAGTTGCAAGGCTGACTGGATCACTAACCCAATGTGACTCGCTGGATCATCGACGGAAAATGCCCCGATTTGTAGTGAGGGCAGTGGAATGGGCATGCCTTTGGCCAACGCAGCACCGAACTTTTCAGCGGTCTGCGAGAAAGTATTATAATAAGCTTCGATCAGCCGCATGTACGTAGATAAGGCATGCAGCAGCGACAGTTGATCGAGCCTTGTTCCTGGCTGTAGTGATTCCGTATCTGAAGTTCCAGGTGTGCTTTGAGGCGTGGCGATCAGCTGCTGGAACCGTGAGGAAAAGGTAGAGGATGCGGAAAGCGGCCTTTGCCAATGCGTATTCTGCACAGTGGGCGACTGGACTGAAGAATTTTTATTTACTCGCAAAAGCTTGATCAATCGTTGCGTGAGAAGGAAAATGATGTCGATTGTACATTCTGATGACGAAGGGGAAGTGGAGCTATCTGGTTCTGTAGTCATCGGGGCTGGGTTATACAGCAGCGGTTCCATTGACGTGACTCGAATTAAGTCAATGTCGAGCTCCAAAAGATCTTTCATAAATCTTTGTAGAAATTGGGTTTGTGAACCGATCTTGGGATGGGAAGTGGATCCCAACGATCGCTCCGATTTCTGAGACGACAGGGGCGGGATGTCCGGGCCGATTTTGTTTCCAGGCTTGGGCACAGTTGGCCCAGGAAACGATTCGAGTAGAGAGAGTTGATGATCAGTGATTTGAGCATAAGAAGCGGTATTATGGGCAGGAAAACGTGAGAACATGCTAGATCCTGAAGGGGCTCCGGGAAGATTTAGAGGCGGTGTCAAGCTTTCCGGGAAGGAAATGTCCTGGTCGACGCCCATGCATAGGTTCGACAGCGTCGGGTCGGGGGTCTCCGTACCGGAAATCGGGGTTCTGTCGACGGTGAATGCTTGACGATTATCTTCCGCATATTCCCTTTGCAGCAGACCCCGTATTAGCGGTCAGACCCCGTGTGTTCTAGGGGGGTCAGGGGTACTCAACCTGTTCAGTAAATCAATATCTCCCAAATGCGTATTCGGTGAATAAGGCATCTGGGACGCCAGTCCCATGGCCAACGGCCTGTCGCTGGTCCATTTGGATATGTGGGAACCGTTACGGCGATCCTGATGGGTGGGCCGACGCCCGCGGTTCGAAGGACTAAACAAGCAATTTGCGCCCGCTCTCACACAGCGGTTGCATTCCCCTGACCCGTTGCGGTGGCATCGTAGTTTGAGGTCATGACAGCGATCGCAAGCCTGTCGCGATGGTTGTTCATACATTTCGAGAGCCAAACTCGAAAAGTATTGACGAGGGGGTTGGATTCGAGTTTGGAGGCGGTTAATCCGGGTCGGACCGAAAGCTTTGGGCAAAAAAGCGGAGGAATTTGAGTACAGGGTATCCAAGTACATGAGTAAGTCGAAAATCAAATATGCAAATCTGAGGGATATTAATATTTATAGCCTCAATATGACACCACTTAAATTAGTAACCTATTCTGACATGACAAATGATTTATGGGATATTTGCTGGGGGACGCTGCTTACCCTGAGATTTGTAGGGTAGAGGGTCTGTATGGCTCTATGAAACAGGATGCGCTAAGTCATGCAAGTCTGATCCTGAACGGAGATTTTCGACACAAACACTGGATATTGATTGCGATTTCGGAAACGAAGCGAGCACAAATTCCGCATTTAAGTGTTGCCTTCTGTTGATGCCCCGCGTATAACGTGATTTGCTCATATCATGCTGTGGTCCCGTAGGACTATTCGGGCCAAATATACGTCGCTGGAGCCCCGATCAACAAACATATTCTGTGTTTTTTGCTATGATCTTTTGGCCTAATCAAGTACCTAGTCAACTACCTAATGGCTAAATGCTTTTATCTCATCACTTAGGCGTACCTAGGTAGCGACCTAAAGCTGACGTGGGATTACAATGGCAACAATACCGCTGCCCCCACCCGTACGTCGTCTGGAGATATATGCATGATTTGCATATATTGTATTCGATGCTGCAACTCGTGCACCTGATCGATGTATGAAAAACGTGGCACTCGATCTGTCTGCAGTATTGTTCCGGCACCAATTTCATCGGAAATGCGGGGTCCTATCCTCGATATCGACTTTAACCGTTCTGAGGTTGGCTTCTTGCCCGTGATGGCATATATAATTTGCACACGATGTCATGCACTGAAGCCACATTCAGGGATTAATGATTACTTCGAGATTGGTTGGCCCTCCAGAGTTGCCACAAAACCGCTAAACCTTCTGCCCGAAGACAGAGAGCTGCATATGAAGGTAATCTAAAACAAGCAGGGGTCCGCAGTACCATTGTGCGTTTACTCGTAGTCTCTACGGCGCCTCCGTTCTGACCTCATCCACTTGTACAAAGGTACAGGTGCTCTGACACTCTGTTATATATCCATAGATGGTTCGAGATTTGACCTGGTCGGAAAATTACATACTCAAGGAAGCCTTTGAAGGTGTAAATCAGGAGGCCCCGGGGTCAAATCATAACGGCCTTGATTATTCATCTGACCGACTGTAGAAGCATCTACATGTATGTATGTTTTTAAAGTGAAAAATGTGCTTCCAAAGTTAGTAGATTAAACCATCATTGATCAGCTCATTTAGAGAATTCTAAATAACCTAATTTAACGCACATGGATCACTATAGAAAGTTTAAATGTAAATGCGATGCAATAGAAAAGAGGCTTACTACGATCTCGGAGTTTAATGATTATTTGCTGCTTCTACCTGACCATATTCCCCTTTGCGTTACCCGTTACCAAGG